GGCCCGAACTAACTTAGGGTGTATCACTGCTAGCTATGCCCTATCTAATTATCACATCCCCGGTTGAAAAGCTTTTTAGCACCTGGGAATGTTCCCTCGTTAGTCATAATTGTAGAACAAAATGTATATATCATAGAGTTGAAAAAATATTTCAAAATAAATAAAATACTAATAAAGTTGTTTTTCAATTAATTATTCATTTGAACTTTTTCTTATTTTAATCGATAATGATATATTAATTTATATTTTTTAGGATGATCTACCTAATTTAAAATGTTTCTCTTTACGATGTTATTGCTTAAGTGATACATATGATGCTCGAATTTTATCTCTTTTACGTCGTATGTCAAATCTTAAAGAATTATATTTGTATCTTACTATACAAGATCGAACTACATTTATCGATGGTACATACATTTATAATGATATTCTTGTTCATATGTCACGACTTCATACATTCAACTTTTGTTTTTGTACTAAAATTAGTATAGATCATTTAGTTCATCATTTATCTAAAGATGATATTCAACACACTTTTACTAACAAAATATATCAACAAGTTGACTGTATTATAAACTATCGATATAGTACTGCTAATTGTCATGTATTTTCACTACCATTCATGTTTGATCATCTTGACTTTGTTAGTAATACATTTCCAACTATTATTTTCAATAATGTTAGAAGCTTATCGGTGCAAGATGGAATTCCATTCAAACATGAATTTTTCATTCGAATTACTTGGAGTTTTCCTTTACTTAAAAAATTATCCGTTGTTAATTTTAAACCACAGTTATCAATATCAGACAAATTAAACTCAAATAATAATCAATTGTATTCAACAATTATTGAATTTCCATATCTTACTTCACTTGATCTTGGACTTGTTCATATTGATTATGTCGAGCAATTTATTAATCATACAAAAACATATTTACCTTGTCTAAACAAATTAACAGTCGATTATGATAAGTTAACAATCGTCACAGAAAACTTTACAAGAGATAGAACACAACTTAATTGTATGAAAATAAAACAATTAATTATTGCTCAAATATTAGTACATTCAAAAGATTTCTATATTTATTTTCCTTTGTTGTAATTTGACTTTTGTTATGATTAACTTAATAAAATGAATAATAAAAACATATTAATACTATTTTTGCAATCAAATCATATTGAACAATAATTATTAATGACATATGATGATCTCATCTTCTATATAAAACACATCAACAAAGAATAGTTTTCTTATCTCATATATATTTGAAATAGTTAAACCAATAATAAAAAAAAGAAAAAAGTCGTTCATGTATTCAGAAATCAATTATATATAATTCTAACACATTGATATATATATATATATATAGTGTTATATAATTTATTTGAATTAAATACAATAGAATTAAATATTTGATGTGTTTCACGATTCAATATCTTGTTAAGTAATATTTGTTGTTAAATCTTAATCAATAACTTTAAAACATATTCATCTCTTCAAATATCACCTATCAATTATCAATATTTTCATTCTCTCCTATGATTATTTGTAACAGTTATTTATTTATTCATTCTTTTAATTTTAGTCTAATATTAGTTAAAGCAGTGAATTATCGAAACAGTTTTTTTTTTGAATATCATTGAACAGTAGAATTTTTTAATATTTCATCGTTGTATAGCATCGATAGATATTTTTAAGTGGAATAAAAATTTTTGTTATTCAATGGCTTCCATTTTGTTTTTCTTTTTTAGTTCCTATTTATCAATTAAATAGATGGATAAGAAGGTTATTGAAAACATTAGTAAAGTTTAAAGGTCAGTTTGATATTGAATTCAACAAAGAACGAGAGTGGGACGGCAACGTCGTCACTGATCTAATAATAATGCTTGTTGTGTACATATGAACTTGTTTTATTATTTTTATTTTGCTATTTTTTTTACCTGCGCGAATTTTTATTAATACTGTATATATATATCTTGTTTTGTTCTTTTATCTGTAACAAGTAACTTAACAATTGGAATTAATCTTTCATCAATTAATTTTTGTCTTGATATTCTTTTAAATTCATCAATATATTCATCATATAAACGTTCAGTTTCTTGTTTTCCAAATATATCAATAAATGTTTGTATACTTGTATGATGTTGCCAATTTGTATAAAATTTTATCCATGAACCTAATCGAAAATCTAAAACATGTCTTGTTAATAATGTTTTATATTCAGTTTGTATAACATGTTTTAATGATTGTTCATTTCTATATGTATCTTCATATGTTGGTGAAATATATTTTAACATTAATATATTTGAGTGTGAAGATTTTCTCGATGATGATGATAATAATATTGATTCATCACATGCATATAAAGCAAGTTCAAGTACAGCTTGAATATTAACATGTTCATGTGCTGATGTATGTATAATAGGTATATTTAATAATAATTGTGAATCATTTGATGATTAAAGACGTATTGATTGTTCGAATTGTAATGCTAAATCAGATTGATTTTTAATTAAATCATTTTTCGTTGGTATTATTAATATAGAACGACATGTTTTAAATAATGAATGAAAAAGAAATAAAAGTTCGGATGTTTGTTTCGTAGATGATAAATCATGTATACATGAAAAAGCATCAAACATTATTATCAGATCAGTGACGATGTTGCCGTCATAGGGGAAGTATAAGGGTAATTTTAGTGCCATCTTCAATTTATCAGTTTAGTACTTATTCAATGCAAAATTTTACGCGGAATCGTTTGGCAACAAAATAAACCTATTTTTGAAGACTTTATACCCATTGTAGCCCGAAATATTGACATATACTTTTGTACCATAAATCGATAATTCATATATAGACGAGTGAACAATGTAAATTTTCTCATAGCTAGACATTTTGAATAGAAAAATATGTTAGTCGACTACTCATCTTTCAGTCTGTTTTTTGGTAAAATTTTCAGCTAAAAAAATTAATGTCTTTTTCAATAACGATATAAATATTGTTGCAAATAAGTATGATTTCTGTTCATTGTTTTCTCAATATGTCGAAAAAGGAAATAAACAACATGAATTTTTGATTGATTTTGAAAGCTTGAAGAAACGGCGAAACACCTAGGCATACTTACAGACCTACAACATTGAAAATCTTCAATATGACTAACTGGCTTTGAACAAGTCAGTTAAGTTTTCCTGATGCTACGGAGCAGCTTCAATGTTTCGTCCGTCAGCGAGAGGCTTATCGATGTTGTTTAAAAGTGTTAGCGTTTACTTTAATATTGAAAATTAGTCCTTCTCAGTTTCTAGAAGTACATTTACTGATGTTGCCCAATTAATGGAAAACGTTCGCGTTTCTCTTTTGTTTGACCTTGAGCATAAAATGCAAGTTTGATGTACGATTATAGTCACAGTTAGTTATTCGTAGAACTAGTGCATTCGTGGTTCGATTCATTGGCGGTTTCAATAGTGCGTCCTGGCACATAGATTTATACACAGCTGATATCCGTTTTAGGTATTTTTGTGCATATAGCAGAACTTGTGACTGCTCGTCTTAACCCTTTCAGTCCGGGTTTTATTTTTTTATAATTTTAAGATAAAAATAAGTTTTTTTTCTTAATTTTAATGGAAAAAAGTCAAAGAAATTTTATTTTTAATAGTTTTTCAAAGTATGA